TTAGAAGAAAATTATAAATTAGACAATATTTTTTTAGGGAATTTATAAAAATTTGGAAACACTTTAATGCATATCATCAATATAATTAGAAAGACAATACTTACTACACTTAACAAAATCAACTACTAACATCATAAAATAAATTATAACTATCTCGGATTAATATAAAATCAGTTCTTAAAAAACACAATAATAATATATACATACAAACACAAATATTTATAAAAAAAATTATGCAAACATATATATATATATATAAGCATTTATAATATATAAATTTAGATTATTGATCAAATAACTCTACAAAATATATACAAAATAGCAATAAGCGACACTACCAAGAGCATGGCTTCCACAACTCCACAACCTAACCTTAATTAAATTTATTTTAATAAAACAAATAATTTTTAAAATATTTAAATTTATTTTTTAACAATTATTCTATCCATTAAATTCTAACAGTTAAATTTTTTTATAAACAATTCAAATCCTATAAAAATAGATACAATTTTATTAAAAAAAATTAAATTACCCATCACTCAAATAATATACATTATATTTATCAAAATTATTATTATATTATTTAACTAATCCAAATAATTCAGAAAACGGATGGAGCATGGTCTCCCATGGGCTAAACGACCATTTTAGAGCATTTTTACAAACTATTTACCAAAATGGGGTTGTTTTGAAACATATTACACCTTTGGGGTTGTTTTCTACGGTGTCGCTATGGCCCATAGCGCCACCAGTGACACGTGACAATTTTGGGTCCGATTCTAAGCCATGAACGCCATATTAGTAGAGTCGTTGTAGCTGCATGGAGTCTCAAAAGAAGTCGCTATAACCTATAGTGACTCAATCCAGCTAAAACTGAAGTCGTTATAGCCTATAACACCACATTTATATAAATAATATAAAAAATATATTAATATAAATTTAAAAATATAAAAAATTATGTGAAGAAAAAATGAATAAAAATAACGTAATATAAGAAAAATAAAAAATAAATTTTGTTAAAAAATAATAATTAAACTATAAAATAATAATTGAAAAAAATAAGTGGGGCGCTATGGCCCATAGCGTCGTTCTTCAAATAAATTATAATAGTATTTTATAAATATAAAATTTAATAAATAAATTATAAAAAATTTCAGGTAAAATCGAAAAAAAGAAATGACTTAAAAAAATATTTTAGAAAAAAACAGAAATATTATTTGTAAATAACAAAAGAAAAAGGAGCGCTCCATAGCGCCACTAAGGCGCTATGGGCCATAGCGCCTATTTTAAACTACGATTTGTTTCCCCTGAAATAACACAAATGGAAGAGAACGATATGAAATAAATTATGTTCACCCACAACAACTCCAAATATCATATGAATATGCATCCACTAGATTCCCTGAATTTTATAGTGACCCACATGAATCAGGTTTATTACAATATATGCATTTAAAATGAAGATCGTGTCTATTCAAAATTCAAAGCTTAGTTCAAATAATTTTCCTCAACGTCCGGTTGATAAAGTATACGGGTTGTTGATGACCTTGGTTTTCTTGTACCAAGACGGCACTCACAGAATAGCTTGATACGGCCAGGTAAACAATCATGTCGAGGCTGCCAATCGGTTTGGAGAGTATAGGACATATGGAAAATGTTCATTTAACATAGAAATTTTCTAATTCAATTTTGAACTTGGAATTTGACCGAGTACATTTGGAAAATGTTAATTTAACAGATTTTCTAATTCAATTTCTAATTCGGAATTTGACCGAGTATGCTTGGAAAATGCTAGTTTAACTTAGAAGTTTTTCAATTCAATTTTGAACTCGGAGTTTTACCGAGTATGCTTGGAAGATGTTCATTTAACTAAGAGAATCGGCTTTCGGCCGACCAGGCCGCCAACTCCCAATATGGGATGAGTGATTAAACTTCTCGTCCCAGAAGGACGCTCCTTCACCACGCTCGACGCCACGATCCACCGGATCCCAATTATCGCCGAGACACACACTCAAAGTTCTCTCAGCCGATTGGACCTCCGTATCACCTTTATCCACCTCGGTAGCTACGAGGGTTTCCAGATTGACCACCGAGATGGACTTCTCGGTCTCTCGACGACGTTTGTGCGAAGTTTCACCGACCCCTTGCACTATCGCCATCGGCCTCTCGGTCTCACCAACCTTCTCGGTGGCCGATTCGTCAACCCCAGCAGCCTGCGAAGCCTTCTGTTGTTTCCACAACTTCATCATTTCTCGAGTGCCCAAACTAGCCATCCTTTCTGCAGAAAACACATCAAGTTATAGTAAGAGTAAAAGACAAAACGAGGGGAAAAAGGTAACAATTAATACAATGCAATACCTATGTATATTTTCAACTCGTCGGGCCTATTCTCTAGATCTAAGAGTTTTGCGGTGTTGAAAAGGGTTTTAAGTTCCTCCAATTTTTTAACGTCTTCTCGATCGCGTTCGGGGAGTGACTCAGGACTCAGCCCACCAAAGGAGGTCGACTCTTTATTCCAGAAAAGAGGGTACCCCTCAAATACGCCCTCATTACCAGGCAAGCACCGAATTCGAAAAAAAGATTTCTTAAAGTCCTTATAAGACGATTGAAAAAGAGACAACAACCCCCACCCCGACACGCTACTTACGGATACCCAGCTACTCCGTTTGCTAACTCGCCCTTCAAAGAAATAAAAAAACTTACTAGAAGTCGCCGTTATTCCGAGCCCGGCACATAGGATCTCGAAACCCCTCACAAAGGCCCAACTATTTGGGTGAAATTGGGTTGGGGCTACATTCAAGGCACTAAGAACTCCTTTCTCGCACTCGGTGAGAGGCCACCTCACTTTAAGCTTAGAAATAAGGGTCGCATAACAGAATGTAAAATGCTCATAAGAAGAACCTATACACACGGGCTCCCTATCTACGCAAGGTTCACAAACAAGAATGTTGTCAACCCCTCGGGCCACTACATGCTCACTATTGAAACTCTCCATAACAGCCCAAGTGTTTATGCAATACTCACACTTTAAGACGTCATCTTTCACCCAGTTTTAAACATCGTTATAACTTAGTAACGCCATGGATTCCAAGGACCTAGTGATGGAGGACCATCCAAGTATATATATATAACCAATAATCACTTATCATTGCACAACATGCAATAGATTCACCTCACTAATTCATGTTAATCATAGCATCAATCAAACAATATGAATTTTCAAAGTAAATCGCATTTGACACCACACAACTTGCGCTTAGTGTGGAAGAGGTAGGGAAACCCTTGGCCTTCATGCCTAGCGTGGCAAAAACCTATGCCCAACCCCATTTCAAGCATAGACGAGTCTCTTTCCTCACACCCAACATCACTTCTTTGACACTTAACACCAATTTGGGTAGAGTCAATTTTCTCACCTCACACTCAATGCTATTCAAATCACATTTAGAGTGACCAAGTTAGAGACTTTTACTTCTCTTCATTCCTAGTGTCACTAATCCTACGCTTGCATGAGCAAGATAGAAACCCCCTAATTTAGGCCATGCCTAACATCATGAAGGTGTGTCCGATGCGATGATGAATTCTGCAATTGTAGACTCACGAATTTGGCTTAAACCACCTAAAATCCAAAAAATCTCAAACATACAATGCAATATATCATACATATGCATCATACATAACTCATTCTACACCAAAATAGCAACATGCAATGACAACTAGGACCAATCACCTAAATTCACCTGCATGAACTCAAAACACCCAAGTTCAACAAACAACAATATAATCCCTACCTTAAAATCATCCATACAATCATGCATTCAACGAATTCAAGGCACATACAACTCATTAATTTATCAAAGATCCAAGTTCTATCCTCCCTTACTTCAAGGTCAAGAAGAAACAAGTAAAAGGAAGAAAAATAAGATCTGACCTTTAGGAAGTTTTGCATAACAACACGACCTTGATTCTCAACTACAAGCTTCAAATCACGCCCAACAACGATCCTTTATGACTTTCGGGAAGTTGAGAATAAGAATAAAAACTTTTAAAACTTTAGAGCTTCCCTCACTACTCTCCCTCTCTAAGTTATTTGAGAAATGAATTTATGAAGCTCAAATTTCAAAATAAACCTTAAATATCTCCCTCCCATGGTCAACTAGAACTGTGGCCAAAAAACCATCTAAAACACTTAAAGATTCCTCTTAAGCTCCTTAACTCCTAAAGTTTCTCAACAACATACCTCAAAATACCATAACACGTAATTATTGATACAACACAATAATTAATGAAAACTTACGGTATTACAACACGAGTTGAAAATATCATTTATTAATTAAATTCTAATATTCTTTTCTCGCGTATATCTAAAACACCAAATATATATATATATATATATATATATATATAATAAGTATAAAATCATTTAATCTAACTGGCATTTTGATGTTAAAGTTAGAGAGAAATTTAGGTAAATAATGAGATTAGGGTTAGAATCAATATGATGCTCATATTAGAGAAAAATTTAGATTCAGTTAAATTGGTATTAAAATAATATTTGTTGTCTCGTAAATAGGTGTTTGATGTTATTTTTAAGCTTAAAAATAATAATGCATAATTTTTGGATATATATTACAGTAGTTGTGTGAAGATATTTATTTTTGATAACTTGATGATTAATGTGATCTCGAGATTTTGAGAAATATGATACAAGGATTATTCTTTAACGTTGAAGATGAAACTATTTGAAATTTTATCCTCAAGGAAATATGAACTAGTTGGGGTTCTACTCAACATATTAAAGTTAAATCCGAAATCAGTTTAATAAGATTAAACTGAGATACATAAATTAAATTTTAATTATTCACCATTTTCTTTTCAAAATTATCAAATACAAACAAAATAACACGATAATATTTTTCAATTTATTATCTGATATGCATCAAATAAATAAACATATTATGTTCTTATTGTAATGGTCTTTAACTTTCTATAGTTCAGAGTTTCACACAAAGATTAAAAAAAAAAAAAAAGTTTCGCACGAAAGAATGAGTTTTTTTTTGTTAGATAACCAGATATTTTATAGGCATTCCCTTTTTCTACAAGCGTCTCTCTCTTTCCCAACTTTCAACCAATTTTCTTCGCTTTGCTTTCTTAGCAGGTTCCCAGTTCTCATATCATAATCACATTCTTTTCTGTCAATACATAGACAGAGCACCTCATCACTCTTTAATCACATATACTCTTCCAGAACAAAGATCCCCTTTGTTTTGTTGTTCTCTTGCGGGTGAATCACTGACTCTCCTCTCTTCTCTCTCATTTACCAAGTTCTGCAATGGCAGCCAAAAAAGCAAAGGCTATTGGCATTGACTTGGGCACAACTTACAGCTGCGTGGCAGTGTGGCAACACAACCACGTCGAGGTCCTTCCCAACGACCAAGGTAACCGCATAACCCCTTCTTACGTTGCTTTCACCGAAACCCAAAGATTATTGGGTGACGCCGCCATGAACCAGCGATCCATGAATCCACACAACACCGTCTTCGACGCCAAACGTTTGATTGGTCGCAGATTCTCCGACCAATCCGTTCAGCAAGACATGAAGCTGTGGCCTTTTAAGGTTGTCCCTGCCAACAGAGACAAACCCATGATTGCAGTCACCTACAAAGGCGAAGAGAAACACCTTGCAGCTGAAGAGATATCTTCCATGGTGCTGTTTAAGATGAAGGAGGTTGCTGAAACCTATTTGGGTAACATGGTGAAAGATGCAGTTATCACTGTCCCTGCTTACTTCGGCAACGCGCAGAGACAAGCCACGAAGGATGCTGGAAAAATCGCGGGTTTGAATGTGTTGAGGATCATCAACGAGCCAACCGCAGCTGCTATTGCTTATGGTTTGGACAAGAAAGGGTGGAGAGAAGGTGAACAGAACGTGCTCGTGTTTGACCTCGGTGGTGGCACTTTCGATGTTTCCTTGGTGACAATTGATGAAGGCATGTTTAAGGTTAAGGCCATTGTGGGAGACACCCATTTGGGTGGTGTTGACTTTGATAACAAATTGGTGAACCATCTTGTGAATGTGTTTAGAGAGAAGCACAAGAAGGATATCAGTGAGAACGCCAAAGCTCTTGGAAGGTTGAGGTCAGCGTGCGAGAGAGCTAAGAGGAATTTGTCTTCGACTTCGCAGACCGCGATTGAGCTTGATTGTTTATACGAAGGGCTTGATCTATATGCCACTGTTACAAGGGCCTTTTTCGAAGAATTGAACAAGGATTTGTTCGCCAAGTGTATGGAAATAGTAGAAAAGTGCCTCGTTGAGGCAAGGATTGATAAGATCCAAGTTCATGAGATTGTTCTCGTGGGTGGATCTACTAGAATTCCTAAGGTACAACAACTTTTGAAGGACATGTTCAGTGTGAATGGTAACGTGAAAGAGCTTTGCAAAAGCGTCAACCCCGATGAGGCCGTGGCGTATGGTGCTGCAGTTCAAGCAGCGATTTTGAGCTGTGAAGGAGAGAAGAAAGTGGAGGAATTGTTGTTGCTGGATGTGATGCCGATTAGTCTTGGAGTTGAATCGGGTGGGGGTGCCATGTCAGTGTTGATCCCAAAGAACACCACGATCCCCACGAAGAAGGAAACAGTTTGTACTACCTTCTACGACAATCAGAAAACCGTTACGGTGAAAGTGTTCGCGGGAGAACAAGTTAAGACAAAAGATAACGTTTTTGTCGGGCAGTTTGTCCTCTCGGGGTTCGCTCCATCCCCAAAGGGAGTCCCACAGATCAACGTTAGCTTCGATGTAGATGTTGACGGTATTGTGGAGGTGAGCGAAGTGGATAAAACAACAGGGTTGAGAAAGAAGATGACGATGAACAAGAAGCAGGGAGGGGTGAAGCATGAAGAGATGAGAAGAATGGTGAGGGATTCGAAGAAGTACAAGGCAGAGGATGAGGTGGGAAAGAGGAAAGTGAAGGCAAAGAACTCGCTTGAGAATTACGCTTATGAGATGAGGCAGAGAGCGAAGAAGATTGAGGAGGCAGTGGAGGAAACCATAGAGTGGCTAGAGAGAAACCAATTGGCGGAGGTAGAGGAATTTGAGTACAAGAAGCAAGAGTTGGGAAGGTATCTGCGAGATGATCCAAATTGTTATTCCAATGCCTCAACTTCTGAGGTGAAGGTTCCTATATGGTGCACGTGGAGATGTCCACCTAATGGGTGGGTTTGTCTGAACACGGATGGGTCGGTGTACGAGGATCATCGAATTGGTTGTAGCAAGGGTGCCTGTGGGGGTCTAGTTCGGGATTCCTCAGGATGTTTTCTGGGTGGATTTAGTGTTAACTTAGGTCCCACATCGGTTACGTTAGCGGAGTTGTGGGGGGTTGTCCACGGGCTGAAGCTGGCGTGGGATCTTGGATTTAAGAAGGTGAAGGTGGATATTGATTCTGGTAATGCACTTGGTGCTGTTAGGAATCGCCCAGGGGCTAAAGAGCCAACTTTTGCGTTGGTTGCGGAGATCAATGGCCTTGTTCGGAAAGATTGGTTGGTGGAATTCTCGCACGTGTTCAGAGAATCCAATCGTGCGGCGGATCGTTTGGCTCGCTTGGGACACTCTCAGTCTCAGTGTTTGGAATGGGGTGCCAAACGCTTCACAGACCCACCCTCTGCGCTTGTTGATATTCTTCGAGATGACTTGGATGGTGTTGCAAAGGAACGTGGCGTTTCCTAGTTGCTCTGTAGTCTGTCTGTACACAAAAGTAAAGGAGATACTGTTTCTGTCGTCGTTACGTTCAAGAGATTCATCCTAGGTGGACCTTCGTTACTCAATCAACCATTTTCACTAATCTCTATAAGCTTCCCTTGTTTTACTCTCTCTTTCTTTTACTCAAATCACATTTAATTTTTATAAAATAAGAAAGCCGTCTGATGCGCAATTGCAAATAATGATGGTAGACCCAAACAATATTGACTTCTTAGCTAAGAAGTAGTCGGGACGCTTCCCACTGCTACTTGTTTAAGCTTAACCACTCCTCGTACAAGTCCGCATAATTATATTATTCGGTTAAATATTTATTTTGGTTCCTTATAAATTTTTTTTTAATGTAGTTCCACTTTTATTTTTAGTCTCAATTTGGTCCCAAACTAATTAATTGGTTTCAATTTAGTCCCTAATAAATTAATTAGTTTCAATGTGGAACTTTTGTCCAAATTTCTTTAACGGAGTTAACTGTTGCATAAGTGGGTGCCACGTGGATGCATATGTGGATGCCACGTAGATGCCATGTGGATGCCAATTTTTTGAAAACACCTGGAACCAGAACGGCCCGTTCTGGAACTAGAACCGGCCGTTCTGGTTGCACTTTTGGTGTGTAAATTTTACATCCGGAACGGCCCGTTTCAGGTGCAAAATTAACACACTAAAAGTGCAACTAGAACGGCTCGTTCTGGTTTCAGAACGGGCCGTTCTAGTTCCAGACTGCTAAACATAAACGATAAATGATTATAGTTCACGGTTGTGAATCATGGAAGGAAAAAGACCCAAGGTACCAAACATTTCAAACACTGAATTTGGTAATATTGTCAATGGAAATTGATAACTTCAATTGCTAAACAGTTAGGCTATACAATGTATTATTAAGGACAATGCAATGTATCACTAATGAATGAACCACTTACTACCAAATTGACACTACCAAATTTTTATTTTATTTTATTGTTTAATTGTTTTTTATTTTGTGGTAAAATTATTTTCATTTTTAATGAAAAAAAAATTTACTTACTTCAATAGTAAGTCTTGATAGATTTATTCTATTTAATAATTAATGTTCTATATCAAATTTTTAAGAATTTAATTGTTAAATTAAAATAATTTTTATGTATAGATCAAATTTATAAAAAATTTTAAAAAATTAAAAATCATATAATACTTCGTTAAATTAATTCAAATTAACATATAAAATATTTTTATTTTAAATGAATGTAAAAATTTAGAGGACACTAAAA